AAGGTTCCTCAAAAGACTACAGATGGAACCACCATATGACCCAGCTACACCACTTCTCAATAAATACTAAAGAATTAAAGTCATCATACTGTGGTGACTATGCATGTTTATAGCAGCACAATTCACAATAGCCAAACTATGTAACCAGCCTAGGTGTCCATGAATAAATGGATGGACAAAGAAAAGGAGGTATATATACACAATGAATGGAGTTTTATTCAGCCATAAAGAAGATAAAATTATGTCATTTGTAGGAAAATGGATAGAACTAGAGCTACTATGTTAACTGAAATAAGCCATACCCAGAAGGTCAGTGGTCCTATGTTTTCTAGAGAAGAAAGAGGAAAAAGAAAGGTGTGTATGGGTGGAGGGGGGGAATTCATGAAAATCTAAGGGAGATTAGTAGAATAGAGGAAAGGGCTCAAGGATGGAGGAGAGGAGGGGAAAGAAGTGCTGGGAGTTATATAAGAAAAATTATACTGTTATATTGTGTGAATGTATTTAACAAAAAATCCCACCATTATCTATAATTATAATGCACCAATAAAAATGTGAAAAATGGTAAAAAAATGCTTATAGGATTTAAGGGAGATAGATGTTGCTTGTTGGACAATTGATATTAATATATATATATATATGTGTCCAGATCACTAGAGTTCACTTTCCCTCCTTTTCCCTAGGATGGTGACAGAGGTGTCTGTTGATGGGAGACTTAGGGCATGATCTGAACACCACAGAGAAGTGGAAGACTTTATCTTCCCCTTTCCTGCAGGTTCTGCTTCTATTAAGGCAATCTGTGACTATATGGGGTCACATTGAGCTTCCTATAAAGTCGTATTGACTCCACGTTCATTGCTGAGCCATGTCTCTCTTTGGACAGTGGGTTCTTGGGTGTAGATCATAGACTTTGGACTTCTCTCTATTAAGATCATCTCATTAGATTTGTCTCCTGTTTGCTTTTGCTTCTGTCTGTTACACAGATGGCCTCTCGCAGTCTTGCCCACATCTCCATCTTGATAGACACATCTTGTGCGCCTTCATCCAGGTCAGCTCAGGGCAGAGGGCTGGCCCCTTGACCCCCTCTAGACCTCCCTTCAGGCTGCCAGTGCTTCATTTGTCGGCATTCCTGGCTGTGGCTGTTTAGACATTGGTGAATCCACTTATAAGCCTTCTCCCCAGCTGCCTCCCTAGCACGCAGGCAGAGCATGGGCCCCTTTGAAGGATATGTTAGCTGCTGTCCAGACTTGGGGTTCAGGCACTGGCTCCAGGGAGGTGTGAGAAGTATGCAATGCTTCCTCTATCAAAGAGGTGGCTTGGATGAGGGTGTCACCCCATGGATGTGACACTGTGTGTGACTGGGTGAGTATAGGGTGTGTCTGTGGGACTTTAGAGGTCCTCAGTCTGTAGGACCCAAGAAAGAATCTCAGCAGCCTTACGTGCTCCTCATCTTCCTGATCCGCTTACACCTGAACTCCCTTTGGACAATACAGTTTCCCTTTGCCTTTCTTAAAAAAAAATACTTTATTTTCTTTTTAATTATGGCAAAGTAAACCTAACATAAACTTCACCATCTTAGTCATTTTTAAGTGTTCATCTCCATATTATTAGCATATAGCCAGTTCTCCATATCTGTGGGGTTTGCACTTTTGGATTTAACTAACTGCAGATAGAAAATATTAGGAAAAAGTGTATCTGTGCTTAACATGTAGACAATTTTTTTCTTATCATGGAATGATAAAAAACTTAATGCACAATGATTTGCCCAGCATTTGCATTATATTAGGTATTATATGTAATCTAGAGAAGATTTAAAATATATGGGTGGATGTGTTCAAGTTCTGTGTGAATCCTGCACCATTTTATCATAAGAGACTTGAGCATCCTTGGATTTTGGTATGCACAGTGGGTCTTGGCACCAATCCACCATGGATACTGAGGGATGACAGTATTCACATTGTGACACATCTCCAGAACTTTTCCATCTTGTAACACTGAAGTTCTGTGTCTATTAAGCACCAACATCCACTTTCTGTCTCTATGGATTTGTTTATTCTAGATATTTCTTAGGAGTGGAGCAACTTGTCTTTTGTGATGGGCTTATTTCATGTCCTGACGTTTCATCCATATTGAAGTCAACATGCCTTTCTTTTTAAGCCTCAATGCTATTCCATTGTGCACATAGCCCTTAGAGCTTTTCTTTTTGGGAGGTGTACTATGGATCAAACTCAGGGGCACTTGAACACTGAGCCACATCCCCAGCCCTATTTTGTATTATTTAGAGACAGGGTCTCACTGAGTTGCTTAGCACCTCACTTTTGCTGAGGCTGGCTTTGAACTCACAATTCTCCTGCCTCAGCCTCCCCAGAGGCTGAGATTATAGGCATGCACCACTGTGCCACTGAGTTTTTAACGACAGAATCCTTGCTTCTTCTGGTGCTTGTTTCCCCCATCTGTCTAGTGTTAGGGGTAGGAAATGAACTAGGCCGTGTGTAGAGACCTTTCTTTTGGCCACAGCTTTGGTTCTGTGAATTAATTTGTTTATCTTAACCTCCAAATCTGGGTTTTAAGGACCAGGAGTAGAGTTATCAGTGACTTTCTTGGTGGCCACCACAGGTATGACCTAGCAGGTGTAGACTGTGGTCCAGGGAAAGGAGCTCTGTCATCTGTGCATCTTGTCACCTCAGTCATTGTCACTATGGAGTCACAGAGCATTTAACTTATACCATTTGATGCTTACATTGGAGCAAGACCTAGGCTGAGGGCAAAATCTATCTTGGGCAGCCTGACACCAGGCTGGCTGTCCAGGGCTGAGCCTGAGGCCATGTCTCCTTCCAGGTTCCTATCAAACCTGTCCCCGGCCACACTTCCCTGGGATCTTCAACATGTGAGGTTCTCAGCTCCCAGCCATTGGTAACACCCTTCTCAGACATGTCAGGCACCATCTCCAGTCTTCTTGCTAATTTTCATTTAAAATTAAACTTGCATTTCTGAATTTAAAAGAAATTCATGTCTATTGTAGAAAAGTGAGAAAAATCTAAAACAGACAGAAAAATACAAATTATTAGCATCCTCCTCCAAAAAAAAAGGAACCATCATCCTTAATATTTTGGTCTCGTCACACCTTAGGTTCTCTTTGTCAGTGAGTGCCCTTTGGGGAGGAATACTAGGGCAGCGGGGGCGGGAGGGGGGGATAGGCCTTTCCATAAATGTGGGGCTGGGTCCTCAGGAAGACTCTTGGCTCATGGTGCCAGTACAACCATCCTTCCTAGCAAAATTGTGACTCCCCATAGGGGCCTCTCTCTGTGCCTGGTGTCAGTGCAGGTCTGTGAAGGAGCCACTAGGAGCAGTGGAACAGTCAGAATTTGGGATTCCACTGAATGCACAGTAGGCTAGAAGCCAGACAGTTCACAGGGCAGGGGAAGTGGTTTTCAAAATTCCTTGTACACTTGGCCTTGGTGATGTATCTTACATTCATCTTAGATCTGCTTACCTGCTGTATCAGCCGCTCGGTCAAAACCGAAGCAGGAAGAGTGGCTGCATTTAAACCTTCCCTTGTACTAAGGCTGGTCCTACTTCTGCAATGAACTGTGCAAACTTGGAGCTCAGTTTCCTGGTGAGGAGGGTGGAGATGAGTCATGCCCACCCCTCAGGGGGGCCATAATAGTAAAGGCAGGTGTTGGTGGGTCATGGTCAAGGTGAGCTTCTTTTTGCCTCTGAGAAAGATGGTCAAGGAGGGGAAAGATCCTCAAATGTGCTTGAGAGTCAAAAAGAGGCCTGACCCTGGCCCTAGGAAGCCTGGCCCTGGGGAGTGAGGGTGGGGACATTTCAGTCAGCATAGCTGGGTGCCAAGTCTGGGGGACTTTGAAGGCCTTGGTGGGCATGGGCCTCGTCTCTCATGGTCACTGTCCCCAGGTGGCCCTTGGAAGGATTCCAGACCATGCTCAGAATGGCAGGATGCCAGCACATCCTGCTCATCTGCAACCTGCAGGCATGCCCAAGACAGCAGGGGATTTGGGGACACAGGGGTCCTCTTCTTGGTGTGGCCCTCAGCTCTTGCTTGAGATCCCTTCAGAAATTCTAGCACAGTCTGCCACCACCATCAGCCAGGAGGCAACACACGGGTGAGAGGGACGAACCTGGGCCTGGACCTACACTAGGTGCTCTGCAAACCAGTTGCCTCAGAGACTTTTAAAGCCCAGTTCTCCATATCTTTGAGTGATAAATAACATCTAACAGTTCTGCTGATGGAATCGTTAGATCCAAAGACCTCAGTAAGTATTTATGTCCCTAGAACTTTATGCCCATTTAAAAAGTACACTTTTTGAAGGGGGAAAAAAAACATTTCCTTTTCATTTCTAAGTAGCTACCATTCCTATGTAATGGGATTGTGTAGCTGATGGTCTTCATTCAGTGTCTCTAGTCTTGGAGTCATACTGGATGCCACTGCCCTCATTTTATATTCTGCATGGAATTTCATGTGGAGCTTGCAAAATCCCATTTCATCTTTATGACACCCTGAAAAGAAATGCAGCAGGGTCTCATGTTGAAGTGTGAGCTGCTTGAATGGCAGCTGACCGATGTGGCTGGTTTCCCTCCAGTATTTAAAACATCCTTGCACTGCCTTAAAGTGAGTTCTTAGGGGTGTCCTGGCACATAGTTTGGGAGTGTGGATCTGCATTGGATCTGATTTATGATCTGTGATGTGGGTATTATCCCATTTTATAGAAGTCAAGGCTCAGAGTAGCCAAGATCTTGGCATAAGGCTGCACAGCTGGATTTTGGGGGAGACCAGGCCTCTCTGGTACTCTGATAATCCTTTGGAATATTAACTGGATCTCTTGAGTTATACATCTTGGGGCCTTGAGCACTTAGTCCTCCCTGTGATGTCTGAAGCCAAATGGATTCAACTTGCCTCTTTGAGGCCCCAGACCCTTCCCTCCCTTCAAGCCCCCCAGGAGACAGAGTGTGGACAATGAGCCTGTTGTTTCTCCTTCCTCCAGGGGGTCCGCTGTGTTCTTGCTGTGTCCCAGATCCCATGGGGCTCTCCTTCCTGCCCACCTATGGCTGCCAGAGTAACCGCACAGCCAGTGTGGCTGCCCTGCGCATGAAAGCCCGTGAGCACTCGGAAGCCGTCCTGCAGTCGGCCAACCTCCTGCCGTCCACCAGCAGCAGCCCCAGCCCTGCTGCCAAGCCAGCTCCCTCCGACAGCAGCCAGGACAAGACCCCTCCCACCAAGGAACAGAGCGAGGGAGAGAAGAGTGTATGAGGGTCCAGAGTGCCCCAGCCTGCCGTGTCCTCCTCCCTGCCCTCCTGCTTCTCCCAGCCTCAGCCCTGCAAACTCTGACAGCAAGGAGAAGCCTGCTGCCTGGGGCTCGTGGACCCAGGAAAGGATATCAAGACCCACAGCTCCCTGGGTGCCTGGGGAGTCTGACAGTGGGGCTGGCTTCTTGGGTGACAGGTCCTGACGGCACTTGTAGCATCGGAGTCCCTTCTGTGATGAGACCCCTGAGTTCCCATCCAGACCTACAAGTCTTGGAGGGGAGGCAGATTTGCTTGCCCATCACCTTTCCTGTCCCGTTCCAGGGCCACCGTTGCAGGTCTTCTCGACCCCAAGAACTATGGCAGGGCCCTCCTTGAGAGACGTCCAGGGCTGACGTCTTAGGATCTGAAATGGGACTGTCCCCATGGCATTGGTTCAGAACCACAGAACTGGTAGAATCTCAAACAACTCTTGGCTCAGGCTCGACTAGCAGTGAACCCTTTTCTCTTATTGGGGGTTATGGGTTGTAGGCTTGGTTAGAAGGGGAGAACACGTGGGGTGGGAAAGGGCTGATAGGACATAGCCTGCTCCAGGGGTACATGGTGCTCGCTCCTAGCAGATCTCACTTGGGCACATCTGGCTGGGCGAATCAGACTGGCCACGGGTTCCATGAAGTGGGGGCCACCATCTTGATACTGGGGGCAAGTGGGGGTCCCCACAACTGAATCATCCACCTGCGGGTTCTGCCTCTCTCCTGGAAAGACCTGGAGGTTGGTGGAGAAGTTGATCAACTGGAAGGCAACTCTCTTGCCCAGGAAAAGGTGAGAGCCCTTGGAGGGGAAGAAGCCCCTAGCAACACCTCTGAAACACTACGTCTGGATGAACCACCTTCCCCAAATCCCTGGCACCTGGAGGGGATCTCCAGTGGTGATGCTTTTTTTTTTGTTTGTTTTTTCTTTTAAACTGGGGAAATCAAATGTAGGAAATGAGACTGAAATGGCACGTGTGCTGAGATGAAGCCCGGGGAAGACGGCTTCCTTGTGGTGTGAAGAGAATTAATTCTAAAGGGCCAGATTTCATGGAGATCTCTGTTTCCATCCAGAGTGGCCATTTCTCCCGTGTGGATGGTAACCTCGAAGAGATTGAAGGGGAATTGTGCAATAGCATGAGCCCCGCCCCTTGCCCCATACCTGAAAGGTTATGGGATTTTGGTGGCTTTTGCTGATGGTGTTTCCATGCAAACTGTCATTGTTTTTATGATGATTGCTTTCATTTCAGTTGTAATCAAAACGTTATACTTTCAGATCCCCCCTTTTTAGCCTCCCCCGGAACCCCCATACCCTGAGTGTATCGTGCCTGTCTATGATTACTGCAAAGCATTTGATAAAACATACTGTCTCCTTTAAAGAAAAAAAAAATCAAACCCTTCTTCCTGCTGTATTTTGCTTGTTGAGTACAAAGATGAAACGATTTGCCAAAAAGCGGCAAAGTCGCTTCCGTTTCCCTGTAATTACGAATGTTGGGTTGAGCGATGTAAGCTCAAGCCCTTACGCACACTAACTCTTCAATCTAATTGTTTGATTAAACTCGTATTTCCTCCAGAAAGGTACATAAATAAGTGAACTGTTGGGCAAATTAAGAATACTTAACAGCATTGCATCCGAAAAGTAGTTACGCTGATTAAATTTTGTGTCCTTGAGGACTTTCAGGAAATTACTTTTGATCGTCAATAACACAATTAAGTAAACTACACACACATTAGCATGAATAATTGATAAGAAATTATGTATTACCACGAAGCACTGATTTAATAATTCATGACGCGACACTCTAGTGACTGTGCAAAACTGGATAACATCGAAAAGTCTGCCTGACGTTACGGAAAGAAAGGAAAAAAGCAAGCGCCAGACCTCTGCAGAGATATTGAGTACTTAGTTTTGTTGTACAGAGGCAAAAAAAGTAACCGATGCATGATGTAGTTTCTGTTTGTTTAAATACCCAAATAAATTTAGAAGAGTTAAAAGAAAAACCGAAAAACTCAGGTCCTCTCTTTGTTCCTCCTGGCCCTGGGGCTGCAGGGATGGGTGGAGTCTTTTCTTTCCAATTCTCCACTTTGGTCGTTGGGCAAATGGAAACCTTTTAGAAACTTCCAGGAGAGCTTTGAGGCCTTGGCTGAAAGCTTTAGCAGATGCAGCCACAAGACAGAGGTCTCCGTGCAAGCCAAGAGCCCTCCCCAGGTGCCCAAGCATGCAGAAGTCAGTACTTCTGTCCCAGGATGGGTGGACATAGCCTTGCCGGATCCCCTTTATGGTCGTCCTTGGTGAAGTCACCTTTGGGGCAGTCATCTCTGGAGCTCAGTAAGTTTATAATGTGACCATCAAAAGGCAGTCAGGCTTCAGTATGGGAAGGAGGTGCAGGCCCCGGGGATTGATTGATTGATTAATTATTATTATTCATTTATTAGTTGAAGCACTCTGAAGAGCATGCCTTAATGCACTCAAGGTTATGGGAATGGAGCCTAGAAACCACTGAAGTCACGACGGGGGCAGCAGCTTCCTCCTGCAGGATGATGGCCCTGAGAGGAGGCCCAGAGGTGGGGGTGACAGGGTGCGAGGGTGAGTGGTGGTGACACGGGACACTGCAGGACTCGCGGGATCCCTTCTGCATTTCTTGGTTGGTGCTTTATTTAGGAATAGCCAGCAACTGGCTTCTCTACTGGGTGGAAAGAGCTTCCCTAGACTCTGCTACTGCCTCATGGCCTGGGACCTTTGCCTGGGAGCATCAGTAATCTGAAAGTCCAAAGTCCAAAATTCTCCAAAACCTAAGGCTTTTTGGGTACCAACATGACACCATAATTGGAAAATGTCACCACATGAAACTTTGTTTCATGCACAAAATCATTAAAAATATTGTATGAAATTACTTTCAGTCTCTTTGTGTAAAGAGTATATTAAACATATAAATTTTGTGGTTAGACTTGGGTCCTCTCCCCAAGGTATCTGTCATGTTTATGCAAATATTTCAAAATTTGAAGGAAAAAAAATACCCAAAGCAAAAATCTGAAACACTTCTGGTTCCAAGTATTTTGGATAAGATTACTCTTCCCATTTCATAGATACAGAAACCAAGGCACAGGAGGGTTGGGCTTCTCCGAAGTGAAATGGGTGGTAGCCTCCAATAAAGAAGAGGGAGAGCTCCGTCCCTTTCCCTGTCACACAGTGAGTGCTTAATAGATGAATTGATGAGGTTAACTAGGTGGAGTCTTTAAGGCTCCAAAGGGTAATGGAAACGTCTGAAGGCCTGTTGAATCAGGCATGTTTGACAGACCGTGAATAGTGGGTCACTTTCTTTGCCTGTGCTTGCTGTTTGTGGGTTCTGTCCTGAGTGGACTTGTGGGAAGGAAGGATGGCCCACCCCAGGGCCTTGTCAGACCCCACTCAGCATCTCTTGGTCTGGCTTGGCAGGGGCAGAGCTCAGCTTCCCCCCTTTGATCTGCCTCTGGACCAGCGTACCCGACCTCAGGGTGTGTTTCAGTCTGTCCCAGAGCAGGCCCAGTGGGGATTCCCAGTGTGGATGGTGCCCAGAACTCATGGGCCTCTCCAGTGGTTTTCTAGAGAGGTCACCAAGAAGGGCCCAGAGACTCAACCAATCCACATAGTGGATACTCTTCTTAAATTTCTAACTTCACCAGAAAAAGGGAAACATTTGTTGTTTTGGGGTTTGTTCTTCTTGCAGTGCTGGGGATGGAACCTAGGTCCTTGCGCCTATTTGGCAAGCCCTCTACCACTGAGCTACATATTCAGCCCCCAAAGTGAAACTTTGACAGACCCAGAGCTTGGCTGAAGCCGTGAGGGGCACATTCTGCCTGTGTGAAACCCCAGCTCTTAAGGATGTGTGACTCTGGACAAGTTATGGAACCTGTCTGTGCTTTGATTCTCTTACTAATAATGGCAGCAACCTCCTAGGGTTCTTTGAAGATGAAACGAGTCAGAAGCTCATGGTGCCTGGCACAGAGGAAGTGCAATATGAAGCCTAGCTCTGGTCCCACCAAGTCCCACCCATATCGAAGGCTTGAAGATGTTTTTCTGGTGAAAAACCTCCATGTTCTCAAGAAGGCCACAGGATGGGTGGGCTTCCAGAGGGAGCTAGAATGGCCACACCCAGTCCCTGAGCAAATCCTTGGGCCTCAGAAGGGCAAGACTTCCAGGAGGGGACGTGTGTGCCGAGGCTCCAAGGATGCAGACAGCACCTGAGAACTTGAATGGGAACCTGGGGTGCTTTGAATGGGGTGCTTTTCCCCACCAGCACCCCTCCCTCCATCCTTACCCAGAGGCGGGGGTAAGGATGGAGGGAGGGGTGCTGGTGGGGAAAAGAAAGTAAAGGCTCTTTTAATTGTAAGTAAAATTAAAACCAGTGTAAGTCAGAAGGATACCGGATGATCCCATGGAGCTCCAGGTAACCGGGGCTTTAGTGGGACAGGTACCAAGAAGGAGGTTGAGACTCTGCCTCCTTCCCAGGGCTCTCTGGCCCTCCCCTCTGTTTGTTCCCCTGCAGGGGTGTCCCCTCCCCTTTATCTCTCCAGAGCTTCACTCAGTCTTAGCCCAGACCTTGGTTGGTTCACAGTGGTTTGGAGCCCCTGCCACACTCCTACTACAGTGAATGTGATTGGTCCCACCTTGGGTCGGGGAAACATCTCTGGCCCAATAGGGTGTGTCCAATCGTGGCTCCTCTGGCTCTGCCCTGCCTGGGTCCTCCCAGAGTTCATGTGTGAAACAATATACAATTTTTCAGAGGTGAAGTGATTAGATGATGAAAGGTGTGACCACCAATATGGATTAATTGTAGGCAGGTAGGGTGTGGTTGGAGGAAGTAGGTGGGGGGGTCGCCTTTGGGGTTTGTATTTTGTCCTTGGTAAGTGGAGCTCTCTCTTTTCTGCCCGGTGGCCATGTCCTGAGCGGCTTTCCTCTGCTTTGCCCTTCCCTAGTGATGCTCGGCCTTCCCCCAGGCCCAGAGCTATGGAGTTGGCCAGTCATGGATGGAGCCTCTGAAACCCTGAGCCAAAATAAACTTTTCCTTCTCCACGTCGTTCTTGTCAGGTATATTGGTCACAGCAATGCAAAAGCTGACGAAAACAGATGTCCTTCTCCAGGATGTGGGCAGACACCCAGAGTATGCCCACTGGTGGAAGGCTGCACCAGAGACAGAGAGGGGCGGAGATGCCGAAGAGCCCGGTCCTGCTGGGGCAGGCCAAGATCAAGGATGCTGTGTTTCTTAAGGACAGAGACTGTAAAGAACTTGTTATGAAAAAATGGCAGTACAGCTCTATTCTGAGCTCTATTCCAGGATACAATCTACTTCTGGAAAACTCATCCTTTTTTTTTTTGCTCTCCAGACTTAGCCAAACACTTTCTATGGCAACTCCTATGAACCAGAGTACAAACATGAAATGTGGGCAGCCCAAGCCCTGCACCCAGTTGGCTTATGAACCCCAGGGCTGGGTAATACCCCTGAGCTATCATTAGCTGCCCATTCAATGACAACAAAAAAAGTTCTTGTTGCTGAGTTTGGACTCATGGGGTCCAAGCACTACCAAAGCTGTCCGAGGGGGACAATGTACAACGGGCTGGGCCTTCAAACACTGAGGGTCTGCCATCTCTGTCCAAGAGCAGGGGTGGCTGCTGGCTCTCTCAAGTCTCCTGGCAGGAGACAGAATGATGGGTTTGGGTAAACCAGGATCCATCCTTCTCACTCCCAAAGGCCATTAAAAAGAAGGGGCTGTGCCCTGCACAACCATGGATTTTTTAAAAATCTTATTTTTTTATACAAATGGAGCACAACTTTTCATCTCTCTCGTTGAACATGATGTGGAGTCACACCATTTGTGCAATCATACCCATACAGAGGGTAATCATGTCCCTCCCCTCTACCCAATCCAATGCCCCCACCCCCCGCCACCTTACCAGAGAAAACATTTGGCCTTTGGTGTTTTGGGGATTGGCTTACATTCTCTTAGCATGATGTTCTCCAACTCTATCTCAAATGTGGACTCGTAAACCACTTCTTTCAGAGTCACCTCAAGTCAAAGCCAGGCATCTTGGTGGAAAGCAGAATCTACCCGAGAAACATCCAAGGTCTTCTTTTTCACTCTGACGGACAGAAGGAGACTGGGCCTGGAAGTTAAGCCTTCTCCCCTCGCTGCCTGCCCTCTGCTCTCAGGCTGCTCAGCTGAGAGGACAGCCCCTGCTGGGCTCATCGGCTTCATTTTGAGCCTGTGTGTGGGGGACAAGCTATTTCTTAGGACTGGGGCATGGCCCCTCCCTCTGTGCTGGGTGCATCAGGGCTCTGGTGCCGGGACAGGGCCCTGGGAATTTTGTTCAGATCTAGGCGAGGGCTGTGGCTGCCAAGTCCTGACCTGGAGCAGCAGGGTGCCCAGGTGCCATAGTGCCCCATCCCAGGATGGGAGAGACTTGCCGGATGGCCTAGACCCCTGTCTTACCACATGGCTGGAAGTGCTGATCCACCTGAGCAAAGGGACCAGAGAACAGGGAGGGCTGTAGGAGGAAATGACCCGGCAGTGGCCTGCCAGTTCAAGGATTACCCGGCAGCTGCCAATGGACAGACCAGGTGTTTCTTCAGTAGCTTTTGGTAGCCTCATGCCTTTATTCAGGAGAGAGGAGCTCTGGCTCTTGCCCTTGTTTTGAGGTTGCATTCCCACACATGGTAACACCCCAACATGATTGCATGGGTCTAGGGAAGCAGCACAAGTCTGGAAAATCAGAAGTTTGATGGTATTAGCTGTGTGACCTCTAGCAAGCCACTTAACCTCTCTGTGCCTCTTCTTTCTCTGTATAGTGGATCTAATAATCTTAATTTTGAGGGCATACGGTTGTTGTGATGAGCAAAGGAGATGGTGCAAGTAAGGGCAGTTTGTGAACAACTCTCAAGAGCAAGGTCATGGCAGCACATCGTTGCTGTCTGAAAGTGCCTCCTGCTGCTTCAGTGTGGCCTTGGAAAATGCAGCCTG